CCTTGCCTGGCCTCTCCAGCCCCCGCCGCCTCCAGTCGTGCCAAAACTTGGGTCGGCGCCAGCTCGCACCCGCTCGCTGTTGTGCCCGCGCCGGCCTCCAGTTTCGACAGCTCCTCCGCCCTCCCCGCTGTACCTCAGGGAGCGCCCTGGGCCTTCCTGCTCCCGGGCCCAGCCGGGGCCGCCGCAGCCTTTCTCTCCATCTGCGCCACTTTCAGTTCACCTTTCCGGGGCGTGGGTGGCGCGGCGCAGCCCCACGGAGATCTCCCCAGGGCCTCGGACAAGGCCCTTCATCTCTGCACAGGAAATACTTGACCTAGCGTGTCACAGGATCACGTTGGTCTTTTTCGTGGCCGCTCTGACCTGGGAGCTCGAAAGGGCTTTCTGCGAACAGTGTGTCTGCCGGTCCCCGTGCTCCTCTCGGTGGCCCCCACTGATGAGCTTGTAGCTTACCGCAGAAGTTCTCCAGGCCCTTTTGGATGTGACTGTCCCTCTCTGCTACTACGCTTCAGCACCTCCCCCCTCCTTCTAATACTTTGGTTCACCCAAGTCCTGTCTTCCTGCTCTACATTACTGATGCCACTCTTGCATCATCAGCAAATCTCTGCACGCAAGATATTTAGCAAACACGTATTTAGCAAAAGTACTAAATGAAACTGGTCACAAGGCAAAACTGTGTTTGTAACCACCCTCCAGCCAAAAAGCTCCCTGTTAAAAGACAACCCGTAATCTTCCTTCTTGAATTTGGATTCAATTTCTGTGTATGAGTCTTAAAATAATATCCACTACCATAAAAAGTTACTGAAGTTTAAATTATATACCAGACCAAAAACACTTGGAAAAGGCAAACTGTCAACAGAAATTCAAAGGCTTCTAATGCTCAGCTCAGCGAGACACAGATGGAGAAGCAGATTAGTGCTTTGTCATTTACAGTGCTGCTTGTAAAGTACATTTCTCATTTCCTTCATCTTATACTCCTGAGGCCTGGCCTAAAACCCACTGAAGCCGAGTGGAGTCTTTCCGCTTAGTTCACCCTATTTTGCATCAAACCTTTACACAGTGCAGCTGATACAGAGTGTAACCAGGTCTGTGTTCTGACTGGAGCCAGTTTATTTGATAAATAATTAGCCTGCAGCTTCTTGTCGAAATCTGGAACTACTTTAAACTAAAACTGTAGCAGTTAATGGTTGATTCTGCTTTTAACTGGTTTTGAATGCTAAAAAACACCCTGGGACTTTTTCATGAAGGCTAGTCCATGAATAGAGGATGTTCTTGCCAAAGCTCTGCACCAGATAACTGAGTAATCTTCGTTTCCTTTTTCCTCTAAAGTGTGGCTCCCACACGCCACCACTGTAAACATAGAGTTTGCCTCCATAAACATGATTTTTGATGTTTAGCACAGCAAGGAGTCATACTCTAGAGTATTTAAAGTGCAGCAAGCTTCTCACATTCTGAGTAACAGCCCTAAAAATATCTGTTTATGGACGATACCAGATGGATATTAGGTATTACCACAGTCACTGGGCAACGATTATACTTCTTTGTAAAGAAGCTCAGCTTTATACCATCTAATAGGGTTGGTGCCATTTAATTTGCTGCCCTAAGCCATAATAGCTGCTTTTTCATAAATTAGAACAG